TAAAGCCTTGGCAAAAAATTATAGGCCAGTTGCACTAACATCACACATAATAAAAGTGTTTGAAAGAGTGATTAGGAATCAAATTTCTAGTTTTATGGAAAATAATGAGTCACAACCCAGGACAACATGGATTTAGAGCGGGCAGACCCTGTCTGTCAGTTACTCAACCATTATGATAAAATCACAGAAGCTCTTGAAGAAAAGCAAAATGCAGATGATGTATACACAGACTTTGCAAAGGCGTTCGACCAATGTGACCATGGGGTGATAGCTCACAAAATGAGGTCAATGGGAATAACTGGTAAAGTAGAACGCTGGATACTCAATTTCCTGTCGAACAGAACACAAAGAGTAACAGTCAATCAAATAAAATCGAGTCCAAGCGCAGTTAAAAGCTCCGTACCTCAAGGTACAGTCCTTGCACCACTGCTGTTCCTTATTATCATATCAAATATAGACAAAAATACAAGTCACAGCTTCGTGTCGTCCTTCGCAGATGACACAAAAATCAGCATGATAATTACCTCTGCTGAAGACATGGAAAAATTACAAGCAGATATCAACAAAGTTTTTGATTGGGCAGCAGAAAATAACATGATGTTTAACAGTGATAAATTCCAGGTACTCAGGTACGGCAAAAATGAGGACCTTAAACATAATACAGGGTACAAAACACAATCAACTGTGCCCATAGTACGAAAACAGCATGTAAAGGATTTGGGAATAATGATGTCTGACGATCTAACGTTTAGGGAACATAACCAAGCAAATATTGCGTCAGCCAGGAAAATGATAGGATGGATTACGAGAACTTTCAAATCCAGGGATCCCATCACAATGGTTTTACTCTTCAAGTCACTTGTGTTGTTCCGTCTTGAGTACTGCTCAGTACTCACTTCCTCCTTCAGAGCAGGAGAGATTGCTGAAATAGAGGGAATACAGAGAACATATACGGCACGCACAGACGAGATAAAACACCTAAATTATTGGGATCGTCTCAAAGCTCTCCAAATGTACTCACTAGAAAGACGACGAGAGAGATACCAAATAATATACACATGGAAGATACTGGAAGGCCAGGTACCAAATCTACACAGTAAAATAACAACATTTTGGAGTGAACGATATGGAAGAAAATGCAGAATAGAACCAGTAAAGAGCAGAGGTGCCATAGGCACAATCAGAGAACACTGTATAAACATCAGAGGTCCACGGTTGTTCAACGTCCTCCCAGTAAGCATAAGAAATATTGCCGGAACAACCGTGGACATCTTCAAGAGGAAACTAGATTGTTTCCTCCAAGGAGTGCCGGACCAACCGGGCTGTGGTGGGTATGTGGGCCTGCGGGCCGCTCCAAGCAACAGCCTGGTGGACCAAACTGTCACAAGTCAAGCCTGGCCTCGGGCCGGGCTTGGGGAGTAGAAGAACTCCCAGAACCCCATCAACCAGGCCTGGGGCACCCTCCTGGGAGTGGCCTGGGGGCACCCTCCTGGGAGTGGCCTGGGGGCACCCTCCTGGGAGTGGCCTGGGGGCACCCTCCTGGGAGTGGCCTGGGGGCACCCTCCTGGGAGTGGCCTGGGGGCACCCTCCTGGGAGTGGCCTGGGAGTGGCCTGGGGGCGCCCTCCTGGGAGTGGCCTGGGGGCGCCCTCCTGGGAGTGGCCTGGGGGCACCCTCCTGGGAGTGGCCTGGGGGCACCCTCCTGAGAGTGGCCTGGGGGCACCATCCTGGGAGTGGCCTGGGGGCACCCTCCTGGGAGGGGCCTGGGGGCACCCTCCTGCGAGGGGCCTGGGGGCACCCTCCTGGGAGGGGCCTGGGGGCACCCTCCTGGGAGGGGCCTGGGGGGCACCCTCCTGGGAGGGGCCTGGGGGGCACCCTCCTGGGAGTGGCCTGGGGGGCACCCTCCTGGGAGTGGCCTGGGGGGCACCCTCCTGGGAGTGGCCTGGGGGCACCCTCCTGGGAGTGGCCTGGGGGCACCCTCCTGGGAGTGGCCTGGGGGCGCCCTCCTGGGAGTGGCCTGGGGGCGCCCTCCTGGGAGTGGCCTGGGGGCGCCCTCCTGGGAGTGGCCTGGGGGCGCCCTCCTGGGAGTGGCCTGGGGGCACCCTCCTGGGAGTGGCCTGGGGGCACCCTCCTGGGAGTGGCCTGGGGGCACCCTCCTGGGAGTGGCCTGGGGGCACCCTCCTGGGAGTGGCCTGGGGGCACCCTCCTGGGAGTGGCCTGGGGGCACCCTCCTGGGAGTGGCCTGGGGGCACCCTCCTGGGAGTGGCCTGGGGGGCACCCTCCTGGGAGTGGCCTGGGGGGCACCCTCCTGGGAGTGGCCTGGGGGCACCCTCCTGGGAGTGGCCTGGGGGCACCCTCCTGGGAGTAGCCTGGGGGGCACCCTCCTGGGAGTGGCCTGGGGGGCACCCTCCTGGGAGTGGCCTGGGGGGCACCCTCCTGGGAGTGGCCTGGGGGGCACCCTCCTGGGAGTGGCCTGGGGGGCACCCTCCTGGGAGTGGCCTGGGGGGCACCCTCCTGGGAGTGGCCCGGGGGGCACCCTCCTGGGAGTGGCCCGGGGGGCACCCTCCTGGGAGTGGCCCGGGGGGCACCCTCCTGGGAGTGGCCCGGGGGGCACCCTCCTGGGAGTGGCCCGGGGGGCACCCTCCTGGGAGTGGCCCGGGGGGCACCCTCCTGGGAGTGGCCCGGGGGGCACCCTCCTGGGAGTGGCCCGGGGGGCACCCTCCTGGGAGTGGCCCGGGGGGCACCCTCCTGGGAGTGGCCCGGGGGGCACCCTCCTGGGAGTGGCCCGGGGGGCACCCTCCTGGGAGTGGCCCGGGGGGCACCCTCCTGGGAGTGGCCTGGGGGCACCCTCCTGGGAGTGGCCTGGGGGGCACCCTCCTGGGAGTGGCCTGGGGGCACCCTCCTGGGAGTGGCCTGGGGGGCACCCTCCTGGGAGTGGCCTGGGGGGCACCCTCCTGGGAGTGGCCTGGGGGGCACCCTCCTGGGAGTGGCCTGGGGGCACCCTCCTGGGAGTGGCCTGGGGCGCCCTCCTGGGAGTGGCCTGGGGCGCCCTCCTGGGAGTGGCCTGGGGGCACCCTCCTGGGAGTGGCCTGGGGGCACCCTCCTGGGAGTGGCCTGGGGGCACCCTCCTGGGAGTGGCCTGGGGGCACCCTCCTGGGAGTGGCCTGGGGGCACCCTCCTGGGAGTGGCCTGGGGGCACCCTCCTGGGAGGGGGGGGCTGACTCACCAGGCAGGAGGGCGCCTGGGGCGGGCTGGGCACTGCAGCTAATTCACTATATTTACTAGTGCAACGGTTCATATTTGCCCTCACAAGTGGCATTAATGTTCTAGGATCATCTTTTTGTGTACCAAGATGAGGGGGTGACCCTTTTTTCTGGTGTCCTTCCCTCCTGCCTGCCAGCGTGTGGGCGGGCCCTTCACGCCCACCAGAATTGGCTGGTGGGTGGTGAGTAACAGTGCCCAAGCGGTGCCTTGTTGCCCGCGTCGTGGCCAGGCTGGGATGGTAAGGGCTCAACCCACAGTGAGGGGGTGCTGGGAGCTGTTGTTCTACTCCCCAAGCCCGGCCCGAGGCCAGGCTTGACTTGTTTGGTCCACCAGGCTGTTGCTTGGAGCGGCCCGCAGGCCCACCACAACCCAGTTAGTCCGGCACTCCTTGAAAAAACTATCAAGTTTTCTCCTGAAAATGTCCATGGTTGTTCCGGCAATATTTCTTATGCTCGCTGGGAGGAGGTTGAACAACCGCGGACCTCTGATGTTTATACAGTGTTCTCTGATTGTGCCTATGGCACCTCTGCTCTTCACTGGTTCTTTTCTGCATTTTCTTCCATATCGTTCACTCCAGAATGTTGTTATTTTACTGTGTAGATTTGGTACTTGGCCCTCCAGTATCTTCCACGTGTAAATTGTTTGGTATCTCTCTCGTCTTCTTTCTATTGAGTACATTTGGAGAGCTTTGAGACGATCCCAATAATTTAGGTGCTTTATAGCGTCTATGCGTGCCGTATATGTTCTCTGTATTCCCTCTATTTCAGCAATCTCTCCTGCTCTGAAGGGGGAAGTGAGTACTGAGCAGTACTCAAGACGGAACAACACAAGTGACTTGAAGAGTACAACCATTGTGATGGGATCCCTGGATTTGAAAGTTCTCGTAATCTATCCGATCATTTTTCTGGCTGACGCAATATTTGCTTGGTTATGCTCCCTAAACGTTAGGTCGTCAGACATCATTATTCCCAAATCCTTTACATGCTGCTTTCCTACTATGGGCACATTTGATTGTGTTTTGTACCCTGTATTATATTTAAGGTCCTCATTTTTACCGTACCTGAGTACCTGGAATTTATCACTGTTAAACATCATGTTATTTTCTTCGGCCCAGTCGAAAACTTTATTAATATCAGCTTGAAGTTTTTCAATGTCTTCAGCCGAGGTAATTTTCATGCTGATTTTTGTGTCATCTGCAAAGGATGATACGAAGCTGTGACTTGTATTTTTGTCTATATCTGATATGAGAATAAGGAAAAGCTGCGGTGCAAGGACTGTACCCTGAGGTACAGAGCTTTTAACTGCGCTTGGACTAGATTTTATATGGTTGACCTTTACTCGCTGTTTGACAGAAAACTGAGTATCCAGCGTCCTACTTTACCGGTTATTCCCATTGACTTCATTTTGTGTGCTATCACGCCATGGTCACATTTATTAAAAGCCTTTGCGAAGTCCGTGTATACCACATCAGCATTCTGTTTTTCTTCTAATGCCTCAGTGACTTTGTCGTAGTGATTAAGTAGCTGTGAGAGGCATGATCTTCCCGCTCGAAATCCGTGTTGGCCTGGGTTGTGAAGGTCATTGATCTCCATGAATCTAGTTACCCGACTCCTAATCACTCTCTCAAATACTTTTATTATGTGGGACGTTAGTGCAACTGGTCTATAATTCTTTGCCACTGCTTTTCTCCCTCCCTTGTGTAGAGGGGCAATGTCTGCTGCTTTAAGCGCATTCCTGTTCATGTGCTCTCTCTTCGTTGTCTGCTGGCTGAGTATTTCCTGAGGCGTCTATGATGTAGGGTGTTTCCTGGGCTGAGGTTCCCATCATGTAGGGTGTTTCCTGGCCTGAGGTTCCCATCATGTTGGGTGTTTCCTGGGCTGAGGTTCCCATCATGTTGGGTGTTTCCTGGGCTGAGGTTCCCATCATGTTGGGTGTTTACTGGGCTGAGGTTCCCATCATGTAGGGTGTTTCCTGGCCTGAGGTTCCCATCATGTTGGGTGTTTCCTGGGCTGAGGTTCCCATCATGTTGGGTGTTTCCTGGGCTGAGGTTCCCATCATGTTGGGTGTTTCCTGGGCTGAGGTTCCCATCATGTTGGGTGTTTCCTGGGCTGAGGTTCCCATCGTGTTGGGTTTTTAAGTTTTTTTTCCAGAAATTTCCTGGGTTTCTGTAGTCAACTTGAATTTGGCTTATGAGGTCATCCCATTTTTTGGTGTCTTCTGTTTTGTATAGTTCTTGCAGTTTGTGTAGTGATGTCTCGGGCGTGAGTTTGTGAATAGGTTTAGGTGATAGTGTCATTATTATTGGTAGGTGATCGCTTGTGCTCACTGGGCCACTCCTGCTAAAGGTGTTTAGGAAGTGGTGAGTGTTATGTCTTGTTTGCCACTGTGACCTTGCCTTCCATGTTGGGAAGTCTGGGCCCAGGTGGGTTAGATTTCCGTTCCTTATCATATTGTGGATGGCTTCTCCTGCTTGGTTGTTCCTTCCGTGTCCCAGTGTTCTGTGTTTGGCGTTCAGATCTCCCAGGAAGTATTCAGGTCTGTTCCTTCTGGTGAGTTTCATGATGATGGCCAGGGGGATGGTAATCCTGGCTTATTGTACCACCAACTGTGCAACTATTTCATTGACTCAGGTGTTCTAAACGACATCCTAATAATTTATCCTAAATTTGCTTGTCCATATTAAAGAATGAAGAACAATTTTATTTATATTATTTTGAAGCTGCATCACTTATGAACCTATCCCTGCCCTTGTGTGGCAGTGCACAATAGAAACTTGATTTTACATATTCATACATTAAAACATTGACTGTAACCATGATATGTGGTTACCATGATGTAACCATGATATAATATGTGCTTCAGCCTACAGTTTAGACCTATTGTCTTATGTATGACCCTCTGTCCTGCGTGACAGTGAATACCACCATTATCCTCACTTTAATAAGACTTAATTGAAAAACTCAGATTAGGCAAAATTTTAATAAAATTTTGAATAATAATAATGAGGTCGTCTTGGTAGTTGGTAACACGTTATTATGAATTCTGTATTTTTTGTCATTTAGGGCTTGTTTGCCAGGCACTTTAATTATCCTGATATCTAGAATTATCTAAGATATCTAGAATTTTGAGCGGCAAATGCCTCCAGACGGCAGCCAGTACTCCATGGTTGGTCTGGCGGGCTGCTTAGCGTCCCATTGGTGTCTGGAGAGACCAGCTTGGTGCGCTGTGTTGGCTGGTAGTGGGGAGCATTGTGGAAGGTAAGGGTGGGAAGTATGGTCGGGTGGGGGCGGAGCATGGAGGGAGGGGGGAGCATGGGGAGGCAGACAGGGGGGGGGAGGGGTCCGTTGCTCCACCCCCCCCCCCCCCCACCACCACCACCACCACCACCACCACCACCACCACCACCACCGTCCCCCCGCCACGGCCAGACATACAGTCAACGCGACAAGATGAATGAAAGCCGCGTTCGAAGGCTGGTAGTGTGGTGAAGTGTGTCGGTGTGTACGTCATCTTCCTGCTCCTGTCTGTCTTCTACAGACTGGAAGATGTGTGCTGCCCGCTGCTTGGCGGCACTACAGGGAGGACACGTGTGTAGAGACACATGTGTTGGGTGTAGAGGGGTGTGTGTGGCCGGCCCGCAGGTGTGGGACACAGCCCCTGATACATGACACGGGCTCCCGCCGACCCCACACACTTTGTTTCACTATTTCAGTTTCTCTGTCACTTTGGACCAGAGTGAACACCTTATGTCTCTCACCTTAAGCTTCCTCACCCTGTTGCTGATGTTCCCTCGTACACTTTGTATGGTGGGTCCCACACTGTGGTGCAGCTGCCTGAGCCTTGTACTGTGTGCTGCTGCCTGAGCCTTGTACTGTGTGCTGCTGCTGCCTGAGTCTTGTACTGTGTGCTGCTGCTGCTGCCTGAGTCTTGTACTGTGTGCTGCTGCTGCCTGAGTCTTGTACTGTGTGCTGCTGCTGCCTGAGCCTTGTACTGTGTGGTGGTCTATGGTGCTGCCTGAGTCTTGTACTGTGTGCTGCTGCTGCCTGAGCCTTGTACTGTGTGGTGGTCTATGGTGCTGCCTGAGTCTTGTACTGTGTGCTGCTGCTGCCTGAGCCTTGTACTGTGTGGTGGTCTATGGTGCTGCCTGAGTCTTGTACTGTGTGCTGCTGCTGCCTGAGCCTTGTACTGTGTGGTGGTCTATGGTGCTGCCTGAGCCTTGTACTGTGTGGTGGTCTATGGTGCTGCCTGAGTCTTGTACTGTGTGCTGCTGCTGCCTGAGCCTTGTACTGTGTGGTGGTCTATGGTGCTGCCTGAGCCTTGTACTGTGTGGTGCTGCCTGAGCCTTGTACTGTGTGCTGCTGCTGCCTGAGTCTTGTACTGTGTGCTGCTGCTGCCTGAGTCTTGTACTGTGTGGTGCTGCTGCTGCCTGAGTCTTGTACTGTGTGCTGCTGCTGCTGCTGCCTGAGTCTTGTAATGTGTGGTGCTGCTGCTGCTGCCTGAGCCTTGTACTGTGTGCTGCTGCTGCCTGAGTCTTGTACAGTGTGGTGCAGCTGCTGCCTGAGTCTTGTACTGTGTGCTGCTGCTGCCTGAGCCTTGTACTGTGTGCTGCTGCTGCCTGAGTCTTGTACAGTGTGGTGCTGCTGCTGCCTGAGTCTTGTACTGTGTGGTGCTGCTGCTGCCTGAGTCTTGTACTGTGTGCTGCTGCTGCCTGAGTCTTGTACAGTGTGGTGCTGCTGCTGCCTGAGTCTTGTACTGTGTGGTGCAGCTGCTGCCTGAGTCTTGTACTGTGTGCTGCTGCTGCTGCCTGAGTCTTATACTGTGTGGTGCTGCTGCTGCCTGAGTCTTGTACTGTGTGCTGCTGCTGCCTGAGTCTTGTACTGTGTGCTGCTGCTGCTGCCTGAGTCTTGTACTGTGTGCTGCTGCTGCTGCCTGAGTCTTGTACAGTGTGCTGCTGCTGCTGCCTGAGTCTTGTACTGTGTGCTGCTGCTGCTGCCTGAGTCTTGTACTGTGTGCTGCTGCTGCTGCCTGAGTCTTATACTGTGTGGTGCAGCTGCTGCCTGAGTCTTGTATTGTGTGCTGCTGCTGCTGCCTGAGTCTTGTACAGTGTGCTGCTGCTGCTGCCTGAGTCTTGTACTGTGTGGTGCAGCTGCTGCCTGAGTCTTGTACTGTGTGGTGCAGCTGCTGCCTGAGTCTTGTACTGTGTGCTGCTGCTGCTGCCTGAGTCTTATACTGTGTGGTGCTGCTGCTGCCTGAGTCTTGTACTGTGTGCTGCTGCTGCCTGAGTCTTGTACTGTGTGCTGCTGCTGCCTGAGTCTTGTACTGTGTGCTGCTGCTGCTGCCTGAGTCTTGTACTGTGTGCTGCTGCTGCTGCCTGAGTCTTGTACTGTGTGCTGCTGCTGCTGCCTGAGTCTTATACTGTGTGGTGGTCTATGGTGCTGCCAGTGTCTTGTACTGTGTGCTGCTGCTGCTGCCTGAGTCTTGTACAGTGTGGTGCAGCTGCTGCCTGAGTCTTGTACAGTGTGGTGCAGCTGCTGCCTGAGTCTTGTACAGTGTGGTGCTGCTGCTGCCTGAGTCTTGTACAGTGTGTTGCAGCTGCTGCCTGAGTCTTGTACAGTGTGATGCTGCTGTTGAGTCTTGTACTGTGTAGTGCTGCTGCTGCCTGAGTCTTGTACTGTGTGCTGCTGCTGCTGCCTGAGTCTTGTACTGTGTGGTGCTGCTGCCAGAGTCTTGTACAGTGTACAAGACTCCGAGAAAAAACTGAGGACCTTAAACATAATACAGGGTACAAAACACAATCAACTCGGCCCATAGTAGGAAAACAGCATGTCAAGGATTTCGAAATAATGATGTCCGACGACCTAACGTTTAGGGAGCATAACCAAGCAAGTATTGCGTCAGCCAGAAAAATGATCGGATGGATTACGAGAAACTTTAAAATCCAGGGATCCCATCACAATGGTTGTATTATCCTTTGAGTCCCATGAAGTGCCAAACGTCTAATCTACGAGAGGAGTTGTCCTTCCCCAGTGTTAAAAGCAGAATTAAGGAGCTGAATGCTAAGCTTGCAATTAGGATAGCCAGAGATCCCTATTACAATGATATTGCTAAGAAAAATATGAGTTGTGTGCTATTTTCAGGGGGAAACAGAAGCAAAAAATGGCATCACAGATCAGTCTGCTACCTCGAAGAGCTTCACCTGCTTGAGCAAGCCCGTGAGCTCCTGCCTGTAGAGAGGTTACCTCCCTGGGAGGATGACTCATGTAAGATTATCATCAATGAAATGGCAACGAAAAAATCCAACATGATACCACAAGGAATGAGATACAAGTATCTCGAGAAAATTTATAAAGAAGCCGGAGATGAACTAGATCAAATCTACACTGACGGGTCATCTAATCCTGTCAATGGCAGGGCTGGTGCAGCATACACGGTAATTAGGGATAATGCTTTCCAACGCAGAAATTAAGGAAAAGCCCGTATTGAGAACTATGCCTCTTCAACGCAAGCAGAGCGAACTGCCATTGGTATGGCGTTAAGATTCCTTGAACGGAACACTAATGGTGCAGTGATCTGCACTGATTCAAAAGCAGCGCAGGTTCACTGGTTCAGCTTCCTGCGCAGGTTCACTGGTTCAGCTTCCTGCGCAGGTTCAGCGCAGCGCACTGATTCAAGCAGTGTTAAGGCTAAGTAAAAATCGGGCAGAAAATCTTGCGATAGTCGCTGAAATTAAGAGAGCTGTGAGAGTACTTACAACCAGGGAAGAGTCGTCAAGTTTCTGTGGATCCCCTCCCATGTTGGAATATGTGGGAATGAACGAGCAGATGTGCTGGCTGCTGAAGGCGCTGAAGGAGACCATATTGAATACTTCATACCCAAGACTCTACTACAAATTAGAGGTATTGTCAGGCAACATCACCGTGACAAGGTAACTGAGGAAAGGAGGATAGAAGCACAAATTAGTGAATCTGTACGATGGTACAACATGGTTGCAGCTGGCAATCCCAATCATTATGGACGAAGAGGAGGTGGCCGCGGGAGAGAATCAATAATAGCGAGAATCCGTCTTGGATACAAATATCAATGGAGATTTGGAGTGGAAACAACAGTTGATCAGCGAAGTTGCAGAATCTGTGGTGAGAGTGATGGACACCGCCTTGACCACTATCTACGTGAATGTGAACACCTGAGAGACATTAGGAATATGTGTAGAATAATAAACCCCACATTGTTTGAGTTAGGAAAACACTATTTGTCAAATATTGATACTGTTCTTAAAAGATTCCCCCATTTTGCACC